CCCCCCGCGCCTTGCAGGACTGGCTCCCGGGGCAGGAGGCAGCGACGTCCCCTGCGGGTCCCGGAGCCCCCCGGGCTGGTAGGAGCGCCTGCGCGGGGAGCGCAGAGCCCCGCTCCCAAGCCGAGAGAGCAAACTTCAGCACAGCTAGGAGAAGAATAAGATCAAGGGGATTTGGAATCAATAGCGCCTGAATGGCGGGAGCCTTCACATCCCTGCCTGCTTTTCAAACTCCTGCATTTGCCCTTCTCAAGTTTCCAACCTGTTGCAATGGCAACAGCTGTTACCGCGACAACCCGACCTACAGCCCCTATACAGCCCCTATAGAGCCCCGGGTCTAACACAGCCGGAGAAACCCCTCGGGAAACATGGCCATCTGAATTGCTTCACCAGCAGCCGTTTAATGCCACCATATTTAAGCTCCAGAAAGGAAAACAGATTACTTTTTAAAGGAAAATGGGTTGTGATGATTTAGGCCATGCCCCATCAATTCCAGCTCACCAGGAATTGTCTGGGGACGGCCCCAAACCTGCTCTACACTTAAGCCTATTCTTCGCTTTAAGTAAGTGATGGTAAATCCAAGTCTTAGTTACTCTTTTGCTTTGAGCGTACGTTTTTCCCTCTTTGCAGGCTGTCTGTAGGATGGTGCTGAGCATTTCTGATCCAGGCAGATGCGAATTTCAGGCGCTGTATTGCACAGGGAGATTTTTCAGCATTAGGTGAAATTTTTTTTTAGTTAGTACTAATTTAATCCAACAGGAGAAAATGTAGAAAAGTGCCTCTCAAAACACAGCTGGTGGATGTCAATCCCTCTTGGTTGACAAAAAGGCAACTGCTAATCCTTTTCTTTTTTTAAATCTAATACAGGCTGGTGAGAAAAGGAATTATGGTGAGAGGTGAAAGGAAAGAGGAGTAAACAATAAATACAAGATGTAATGTATACACACGGCTGAGCAGAGTGCACCTTAATTCACATTCTGTGCTACAAGGCTCAGTGACGGGGTCAGGCTGGGGAATTTGATCACATCGCTGGTCTGACACCGTGAGCTGATCCGACTCTCTCGTACACACGGGTTTCCTTTTTCGTTCTCCTACACAGAAAAAAAAAAAAAAATGCACATTGTTTAAGTCGTACAGGAAAGTGATCAAATCGGTTATTTCTCTTACTCCTTTTATAGCAGCAATTACGAGATATTTAATTATGCTTTTAAATCTCTTTCAGAAAGAGGGAGGGGGTTAAGACTCTCTAAGAAGAGCAGAAGGGGTTTAACGCAGACGAGATGGATGCAGGCAGAGACGCAGCACGCCTGCAAGGATGGGCTCTGCGCGTTGAGCGGGTGGGAATGACTGGGCGTCAGACCCAAAACAGACACCGATGCCTTCTGCAGCCTTAGGCAATGCCAGGTAACCTTTTCTGCGCTTGAGCTTCCTCACCTGCAGACCAGGTTGCAAGGCTTACCTGGCTGAGAGGGGCTGTAAAGGTGCCTGCTCTGAAACTGAGAAGCAGCAGAGCAGTGCTACACCTCGTGCCATAATAGCTGCCATTACAGCCCAAGGAAACAATCACGCCCATAATGCGAGAATCTCGAAGAAAGCAAATGGAGAGGGATTTAACAGCACTGCCCAGATCCCAGAAGAATCCAGGACAAAACTGTGTCTTCTTTAAAGCCTTCCCAAGCACCCACCTTGGCAGAGCTTACTGCAGGGCTGCCACGGGCCATACGCATTCCAGTAAAACTGCTGAGGTTTGTCCTCAATGGGGATATTAAACGTGTAACGAACGTCGGGATTGTACAAATTGCCCACTGATAAAACCTGAGGGGAAAAAAGATGAAGCAGAGTAAACCAACAGACTTCGCTGCCCACTGTTTCCAGTCCAATAATGCTGGGCAGACTTTTCCACACGCACAACATATACTTCACCTGAAGCGTTATTTCTTGCTCAATCCGATCTGTAGAATTAATCCTTTCAATAGTATTATCCGATCCGCTGTATTCGATCACAGCATTCCCAACTTTGATTTCCCTTTTAAACATACTGACGACAAAGTCTCCATTTAATATAAAGTCTCCTTGACTGTTAGATAAGGCTGCATAGGTGCAAAAAACAAGAACTAAAGACGCAGAATTAACTCATACGTACACAATAACGTGGGTCATGCGCTCTCAGGGCTCCCTTTCATTGGGGTGGGAGGAAAAGCCCACTGGCACTCGCAAACAGAAAGGATGTGAAGAGAGCAGCAGAGCTCTTACAGACATTGTGCCTTCTCCTTTTTCCACCGGAGAGCCTCATTAAAACGAAGGCTGAATGCCTGAAGTTGTTGCTAAAGAGTTCACCCATAACCCAGGGCAGAGGGATACCCAAAAGGCATGCCGGGCCGGCTGCTGGACGCAGAACACAGTCTGTATCCCCTCGTATACCGCAGAAATAACCCTGCCCAAATCTTTTTGTTAGCCATGCAGATAGGGTGGCTTCCCTGTTGTTTCCAGGTGTGTTTTTAGGGTAAATGCACGTACCCTAATTGCCCAAACGCCGTTTTCTAGTAGATAATTACAGGGACTTTGGTGAGTATCTCCTTCTCTCCCTCCTCCCCCCGTACTTTTTATTATTCCAAATCTTAAGGTATGTGAAAGCACTGAAGGCTTAAAGCCTAAATACTTTATAAAAGGAACAGTTTCCTGAAAACAGCAGTCTGCTGCACAACTTCACACTAATGCGATTATGTAGCTAATTTCCTAAGTTAGTTTCCCCACCATTTCACCCATCACAGCTACATTACCACAAAGCCTCTGTACTGAAAAATCTAAACACCAAAACACCAAAGGGAAGGTTTTTATACCGAATGAGGAGAGATAATGAAGCAAAACACTGCTCGGTAGCAGACAGACATAGACGGAGAAAAACTCACAAAGCAGACGCGATACTCAACCAAATTCCACACTTTGGAGGCTTTAATGTCATTAGGCAGTAGTAAAACTCATTAAAGGATTCCTTCCCGTTTACTGTATCTCCTACAACAGTAGGTACACGTCTTGGACTTGATGACAACATCAAATTCCTCCTAAATTGTTAAGGAACTACAAGGTTCACAGTACGGAGGGCCCAAGATTTCACACTCAGTGAGCTGCAAACTAAGTGGACACATGCACACTTCTCATTTGCTTCTAGTCAGGCCTAATGTGAAGGGATGCTTTCCCAGCAATATTAAAGCAACATTAAAGAAGATTTGACTTCATTGCTTCCCAAGAAGATTAAAGGCCCTCCAAGAAGAGCTGAGAAGTTCTTTGGGGCTCCTTCTGGGGTGAACCAGTTTGAATAGGCACACGGGGAGGATTGTTTTTCTAGAAAAGAGGAATAATGAAACATACCTCCCTCCCCCAGGATGAAAAACTATCACACCTCAGTAAGGTTTTCTTGGTACTGATGTGCATTCGTGCTGCACCACCGCGTTTCATTGCTGTGAATGTGCAGAAGCGATGCAAGGCGGCTGTAAGGACGGCCGCGTGCGTGCAGGGACAGACAGCCTTGCATGACCCTGGTCTGGGAGTGACGACAGGGAGGACCCGCTCAGCTTTTTCCATGAATGAAGGGTCCGGCCACATGGATGGCACTTCAGAGCGACAGCCAAAGCTGTCAGCACCGTTTCACTTTGGTGCACAATAGTCTCCTCTACTCGTTTCTCAAGTGAGTTCCTTTACCCTCGATGGGCTGGGAACCGCCAGCCTAGTCCCGTGTTTAACATACCCAGTTGCAGCGAGCACTTAGGCTAAGCCACATATTTTGCAAAAACGCTCAACAACTCGGGGATTTTACGAGATGAAACGAGACGAAGTGCCCTGCTCAGAGATGTAAATACGGGACCCCGTGCTACCGGAGCGCAGCTGGCAGTGCCAGGCACGGGGCGTGCAAGAGAGGAGGAGCAGAGCCGGGAGAGCAGCCATCTCCGTGGGACTGCAAGGGGCCACAGCCCGAGTCCCTGCTCCACCAGTGGCCCGAACAGACGCTGAGGGACCCAAACAGGACTTAATGGCAAAACCAGCCTTCGACTGGCAGGTGTAATATCAGTCTTAATGTGCGTTTGTGTTATCTCCGCTATTGAACCCAAACAGAACTCTCTATGTGGTGAATTACTGATCAGCATGGTGGAAAAGAGACACATGGCCATGCTAAAAGCATACGTGCGTGCAGCAGACTGGTCTAACACAGCACCACAAGCATTTTCATCTGCCTCTAGAGACATACCCACAGATTAGAGAAAACAGTGACCATGAATGTTCAACAGCCAAAGGCCAAGTTATTGTTAGGTTTAAATCAAACCAACATGGTGCAGGGTATTTCTTTACAGTTACATATCACCGTTGGGCAAGGACAAGAAGGGCTCAGTCTAAGTGAAATCAGAATTATTATTCTCAGAGGAATAGAAAATAGTTAATCTTTGGATTTGCTTGTACACACGTCTGTCAGGGTACGGCATATTTACGCTCCAGCCAAGGCACGGTGACAGCAGAGACGTGTTAAATCGCGATGAGGAGACTCCAGCAGAACTCAGAAGTCTGTTTGGTTCCCAGCTTTGTGTCTCAGCTCCCACCCACAGCCCAGGCTCGATAGTCCTTCCCAGCCCCAGACACTCTAAGGGGGTATTTCTTATAATCTGTGAACCTCCCAAACTTTGCATCAAGGATGGCACAAACAAAAAGAAGGAACAAGTTAAAGCTGAATGTTTGGTAGACGTATGAGATAAATTCTCGATAAGAAAACATCTCCCTTAAATGAATTCTTCATCCTCCCCGGCAGAGAGCAGCCAGTAGATATATCCCCACAACCAGACAATAAAGCAGACTTCTGGACTGAAACAAGGACTGCAACTCACCCAGGTAGTTGTCATCCTCTGGTTTCCCTGAGTAACTGTGCTGACGCACATCAATATTAGTTGCACCAGCTGGGATGCGGACCACAACGTTATAGCCTGGAAAAGATTTAACAGAAAGTCAAGGCTATTACACAGACATTTCATTTGCTTTTTACGGGGGGAAGGGAAATGAGCAAAATTATCTCACATTACACAAGCTGATACTTTTCATTTAGGGATAGCATAAATAGTTATAAAATGGAATATGCTACAGCTAGAAGGATTTTGCATTTTACATCAGTGCTTTTGTAGATTAAGTGTGGTAATGGCTTTTATAGACCCACATTTTTCACCATAAAGTTTTTAGCAACAGATTCTTACCATAATGCACCGTGTTAAATGTGCCTGCAACAGTTTTGCATGAAGAATTATCCCCACCACAAACACCACATTTATCTCTTCTTGCTTTTGAATTCAGCACATGATCACATCCAGCTTGCTTTAAGAGAAAAATTGAAAAAACTAGATTGAGCAAATACAAACTAGAACAGCATTTACAAACCTCCCAATTAAGGCACACAAAAGCTTTGTACGCAAAAGGCTGCCGTGAAACAAATTGTTTTGCTTCCCCATATTTTTCCGCTGATTTACAGCGTGGCTATCCCACACCATTTTCAAACAAAAGGCTTTTTTACAAAGTGAGAATCAGCACTGCCATTTGCACCAGGCGATGCCTTCGCTAGAGAAAACTTCTTGCATCAATTGTTCCCAGAGAGAAAAGTGGTGAAAAATAATTGCGAATGGAAATGTGAAGTGCTCCGGGGTCTGACCGGGAAGAACCGGGGCAGAGCACAGAAGGAAGCATCATTTGGATTCAGGCTTGGTCCTCCACAGCCCTCAGTAACTCAGGGCAGATGAACAGACAACCTCCACGCGTGGCTCTTCTGCAAATCTGGAGGTTGGCACAAGCTTCAGACCAGCCGGGGCTCATGGAGCCTGCGGATGCCGCCGGCAGCCCCCGAGCGAAGAGGGCACGCCGACAACCGGGTGGATCAAAGCGCAGAAGCGCCATCCTGCCATGCAAAACTGCAATCGCCCTCGCTAAAGAGAAGGGAAAATACTTACCCGGCAAAGGCCCTGCACGCAGATGTCATTCGTGTCGGGGCCGCAGGGCGTCCCGTCGATGACGCGATCCCGCAGCTGGTAATACGCTGTGTTCCCCGCCACCCGGCAGAACAACTTGCACCGATCCTTCATCAGGACTGGGGATGGGAAGGAGGAAAACCAGAAGCACGTTATCCGAATGCCATCACCCCGACGCGGTGATGCAGGAGGCAGGATCTGCATCCCCCCCCGCCACTTACTGCCGCTGTATTTGGGAACCCAGCGCACGTTCGTGGGCAGCCCGTTGATGTTAAAGTGCTTCCCATCAAAGTCGGCGCACTGCTCGTCCCGGAAATCCTTCTTCAGCTTTGAGCACGGTTCGGTGTTGCAGGATTTAAACTTCATGCGACGACCCACGCAGTACTTCCCACCGTTTTTAGGCCTGCAGAAACAAGAAAGAGAAGCTGGCTGGGATCGGGCTGGAAACGAGATGCAATTGCAGTTCTGCAACCTGTTCAGCACAGTCGGTATTTGCAACACCATTTTGATGGCTCTGTCTACATCTTTGCATGTCTTTTAATTAATATCCCAGGCTGACAAGCAAGAAAGATTATGCAGGTGTCTAATAAAAAAGACCATATACGCGATACTAAAGAGGGATGAAAATGCGAATATTTGCTCTCTGATGAATGCAGCGGTAGTGAGAGAAGCCAGAGAGGAAGAGCAACATCTTGCTCCCCATCTGAGGATTTAGTTTCACACTGAGGGATCCCATACGGGGAGACCGTCCCTCCACAACCCCATTGGTCCTATGGATTTGGTGGCTGAGAGTTTGCATCTGATCTAGTGGGTAGAAATAACTAAACATCACGGAAAAAAGGAGAAAGGGCTTCCCTGCGGAGGCTGAAAGGCCAGCCAGCACCTAGTCCTTCAGGATTTCTAGCCCAAAATGGTAGAAATGGTAATGCTAGACACTTTTAAAACAACTTTATCTCCATGTATTCCAGAAAACACCAAAGACAGCCAATAAATATTTTACCCCCATTTTATAGTAGGATGACTCTAGTAGAAACTGGGGAGCTTGATATCATTCAAGCCACATAAAAGCCAGCGGATAAGCCTAGGAGAAATCGTCACTTTGAATTTCCCAACTCCTAGATTCAGGGCTGTAGTCATAAAACTATTTTTGTCCTTGTATGTAGACAGAGCCTTTCCCAGATAACAACTCACTTTGGGGACCGAAAAAGCCTCTCCCACTCCAGCCACTGTCAGCAGGGAGCGAGCTGCACGTGGACGGCATTGGAGGAGCCCAGCAGAAGGCACTTTTCTGGTGAGGACTCATTTTCACCTATGGTAATGCTGCGAGGAAAGTACCCTTGGGATACAAGCTATCCTATTTACCGTCTGTTCGAAGAACATTTCTTCTAGGAACTCAGGTCAGATTTCATATATCTACTTATGTGCAGCCTTCTATGTATATAATGAATTGTAATAATAAAATAAAAAAGGATGCACTGTGCTTTAGATGTCCCCCCACTGTCTCTGCTGCTCTCTCCTGAAACTTCAAATGTAATTGGGAGGGCACGGTGGAGGCTTCCACAAGCTACCACCATTACATGCATAATAAAAACTGCAGTACCACCCAAGCAGCTTTGCTTTTCCCTGATGTTACAGAAGGAAAGATACTGCAATCTGGATGAAATGTTGCCAGGGTCAACTTGGGCAAAGCTGTAATTATCCAAAAAGGAAAAATTACATCAACTAAAACCTGCACGCAAGGGAGATGCAGTTAACATGCATCTCGGTCACCAGCATGGGAAAGCCTCCACCGGCTGAGGTTAGCCCCAGCCTCTCCCTTTAACAGACAATTTCAGAGGAGTCAGCGGAGTCTGTTCCTACAGCCAAACACAATTTTTTTAGCATCTCTGCACACCAGCCACCTAGGAAGCCCAGCAGTGCCTTTTCTCCCACAAATAACAATTCTTCACTCTTATGTTTGAAAACTATTTGTGACTCAAGTAGCAGAGTTCCTGTGAAATAAATGGGGAGACAGAGGCACACGGAGGGGCTTGCACTTGCCAAAAGATTACCTGCAAAGCGGGGAAGGGCAGGCAGACTTCCCACCACCCCATCAGCACCACGCTAGGGATGCTCACCGCTTTGGCAGGAGTTGCCTCCTCCAGCAGCCGCGGGCGAGATGCAGAGCACCACCAGCTACACACACGGGATTTTTCCTGCCAGCATCCTTTCCTCCCTGAGATATGCACTGCCGTGGTGCAGACCCCTCAAGTCCTAGCTTAAATACCGAGGGGTATGATTTGTCTTTAGGCACAGCCCCGAGCCATAGCTGGTAACATCAGCTCTACCTGCTCCGAGGGCGATGCTCACATGCCATCTGGAAACTAAACGTGTGTCACTTGCAAAGGTTTCTGGTACTTGCAGTTAGGCAAGTAACAGTGCTAAAAATCCCAACCAACCGCACAGCGCCTGGTGCAGATTTCAGTTTACAGACTGATTTCACACCAGTTCCTAGCGGAGCCAAGTCTAAACCCGGTTGCTACCGACTTAGTCTATTCTCCACCTCGGTATGACAAACAACTTGGATTAATTTAACTGATTACACTTGGGACCGCTCCAGAGCTAAGCCAGCGCAGCCCCTGCGGATGCATCCCGGGCTCCTCCTGCCTCGCAGGCTCAGTGGTGATTGCTGGGGGTTTCCCACCGCCGGAGCCCATCCCACGGATTATTCCCATGGAGGTACATTATCTACCCCCAGCTACAAAGGGACATAACCCGACCGCCTCACTGCACAGCACATGGGGAAACCTCTTAGCTGTGGCAGCAGCACACTCCAGACCTTGGTGAGCCCGAATCATTCGTGGGGCAGTTAACAGGATTCATCATTTTCACTTTGAAAGCATTTATACCGCAGTGGGACTGCTGCAGTTTGACAAAGGCTCTAAATTATGCAAACCTCTAGCAGGGCATTTCTTTAAAAAAATGGCAATTACAACATTTTTATGGTAAACACATTGCTTCCAATATAAACTAATTAAATCAAAAAGAGACTTTTAAATATTAAGTTAGTTAAGAATAACATGCAGGAGCCTTTTCTTTTTTTAAGGGTATGTCTAACAAAATCCAAAGATCCTAAGCTACCGTATAGTTTCTTTTTCTTTAGACATGACCCATGAGATTGAGACAACATTGAACACACGGACACACCACAAACTGAAGGATGCTAAAACTTGCCATTGTGTTGCAAACTGTCAGCTTTGTAACTCTGGCAGTAAATCTCCCCACAGCCAGCATTCGGGGCTGAAGCACACTCACGCTCCTGACATTTCAAAACAGCCCCAAACCACCCTGACAGTTTTAGGGTGTTTTTAAACCGGCGTTACTTTTCACAGAGTTTGAGTAAACAGAAAGAGCTGACCCTGAAAAATAAGTCAGCCTCATACGACATTGATTTTCAGTGTTATGAAGAAATACAGGATACTTCACACTACGTACTATTTTTATGGATAATCATCAGTGATGTATCGCAGAGACTGAAGGGAAAGCAGTGCATGCCTAGAAACCTCCGCATTCTTTCTTGATTTCCCTTCTCTTTGAATCATGTATTTGATCAACAAATGGCTGGTGTGGATCCGCTTTCTATCTAGCGTCGTTCCCCTTACAAACTCCTGGGCACACCCTGGCTTCGCTGCGTTCCTCCCAGCACATCTTAAATGCTTAATGCATCACCTGCAGTTACTAACCTTGAACATCTTCACGTACAGCACCCAACTCGCAGTGCTCCGGGAGCGCGAGGTAGAGGCACCTAGGCAGAAGCGCGGTTTTGGGGGTGCTTTGCACGTGCTCAGCCCCGAGGGCAGCAGCTCTGCCCGGGGGCACTCAGGCTGCCACAACGGAAGGACCCGGAGACCAACTACGGGACTCGTGTGTTCATCTGCACGCCTGCCTATGTGCCTGTGCTCATGCAGTGACTGCAGAAACATCTGTGAAGCTGTAGAGTGCACAGAGCAGGTTGAGATCTCCTTCGCAGCATCCCGGGAAGCCCTGGGACCAGGAACTGGTATATGTGCTGCCAGTGGCCAGCACAGTTATCTATAGACATGTTTACATGTCAAGCTCAGACGGCTTTCAGCACAGGTGGATACTTCTGCGATGGACTAAAATGCAGACGTGATCAGACTCGCATCCAGAGATAACACTCCCCCATCCAGAAAGCCACTGCTGAAAACAGGGCTCCTGGTATTGACATCTTAGGAAATACGCCTTTTCCCCATAATTCTGCAGCTATGCCTTGCTTTGAAAACCAGGGCTTGCACCACAGACCCCCTACGTGATGCACCGCAGCCGTGGGCTTTGTCTGTACCAGCCAGCCTCGAATTCCCAAGTGGGCAATCTTGGTGGGAAGGGTCTGGTCTGGTTCACTAATACATTCCTTCAGTGTATGTCAAAACACAGTCTGCTGCCATTTCAGAGGCTTACAGCTTCCTGCAGCCCTGCAAAATGCTCGTCTGCATAGGTGTCAGAGCACATTACAAACAGAGGCAGGAGCTGCAGCCTTATTTTCTGTACCGTGGTGTGGGGGGGTTCATTTTCAATGCCAGATTTAACACAATATTTTATTGGCGTGCAAGATACAACCCCAGGTCTTCATGCTCAAAAAAAAAAGTCTTAAATAAGCTAAACCGTCTTTGAATATAAAAGACTTAATGAAAACTATTTCAGATATTCCTCAATGTATCTGGGTTGGTTTTCCTGCCTTCTACAACAGAGGAGAAACAGAGACTACACCTATTCTGTATATTTTTGAAGTACTTTGAAAAGTGGGAGAGGCAGGAGAGTACCTAGCAGTGTCTTATCCACTTGCATTGTCTCAGCAGCCCCATGATAACGGGGATGCAGATGGTGGGAGCCCACGCTACGATGTCAAATTATGGGGACAAAACAACAGAGTCGGTGTAAAGCTCTGTGGATGGTGCTAGGACAGAGGACTCCCCGCGGAGACTTCGCGAGGGGCTGGAGAAGAGGCCAGTGCCAGCTACACGGCTCTGGAAAGGGGGCCTGGAAAATAACCACTATTAATGATAAGCGCAGGGGATTTCACAAGCAGCTTGGTGTCTAGCGTATTTAGGTGCTTTTGCAAATCCCAGCCTAAGTAATACGCCTCACGAAACACCGAGATACAAAACACAAGCTATAAGAGAAGATGGAATTTAAAAATCCCTTGGCTAGCCTTTAGGATAAAGGAGATTTTCTATCACAAAAAGCTATCAGTCCAAACAAATGCCTCTCTAGAAGATGGGAATACATCTCTCTGACAGCATCCAAGGGTTTGGCAGCATAGCTATTTTTGCGCGTGGAAAGTTATTTTATTTTTGTGTCTCCATGGCCACTAGAAGACCATATGGCATGTGCTGACTCAGCACAGCGAAACGAGAACTCCTTTGTGCTTGTGTGTTTCTCAGCATCATTTTAATTAACGTGCTGGTGTCTGACTCCCTCAGCCTCAACCCTTCTCTCTCGACACTTGCCCGCCCGCGCTGAGCCAGCCTCTTCTGTCACTTCACCACCGGTGCCGCACGTACAAGCTCTCCCTTCTCCCGTTAGCAGTGATGAAACCCTCACTGCCGCATCACTAATGGCAATTTCCTTGGCAATAAGCTGTCCAACACCAATGACGAGAAAGTGGAACGAGCCTGCTCAATCTCGTTAAGACCCCTTGGTCCAACCAGCTCCGCAGACCCCTCTCCTCTCCGTGTCGCAGTCCCAGATGAGAGCCTGGAAAGCATCCTGCCCACCCCTTCTCGGGCTGAGAGGAGGCAGTTAAACAGAAACCAGCACAGTTCACAATTTATGTAAACAGGCTGTTTTCATACCAGTTGCCCAAACTATTACTAATATTTTGCTGGCCACACATTCATCTTCCTTAAAGCCCACGGCAAAATTCCCTGCCGTTGCAAGGGGTGCAGGATTTTGCATTCCAGGCTGACGGCAAACATTTTTGAGTGCCACTTTTTAATGGGGCACAGATTTCTGCTGAGGTTTGGCTAGTCTGCACCAGCTGACGTGTAACTGTATAAAGGATCAGCTGCAAAAGCAGTCAAAAGCTGCAAAAACCAGCCAAAGCAGGAGTAAAATGGTAGAAAACTGTATAAAGGATCTGGCCTGTAGGAACAGCTGCAAAAGCAGCCAAAGCAGGGGGAAAATGGTAAAAAATGGATAAAAACATGGCTCCTTCCCTTCTCCCTCCTTTCTGATCCACAACTTTGGAAGAAGAAAAACACCTTTGAAAGTGGGACCCCAGCTGTGCCTCCCCAGGAAAACAGGAGGCAATAAACCCACGCAGATAGTAGCTTTTTCCTTCTCCCCGTTGAATGGATCCCTTTTTAGTGCACTTTACCCACAAACCAAATCTGTGACCGGCTCCTCCTGGGTTCCCGTGCTGCCTCATCCGTGCCAGGCAAAGTCACCCGTCCCTGGGGCAAAGCCACCGGTCCCCGGAGCACATGTGGGCTGGGGACAGCCGAAGGGGATTTCAGCCCATTTGGGCAACCCAGCTGCTTTTCCCCCTTTCACCCACCGGCGTTTCCCCTCCGTGCACTTACTCAGGCCTGTTGCACTCTCGTATCGCCGTCTTTATGCCACCACCGCAGGTTCTCGAGCAGGTCCCAAAAGGGCTCCACGTCCCCCACGCTCCGTCTATCACTGGTGCCTCTCGCTCTTTGGGCACGCACATCCCAAACCGGCAGTGCTGCATGCAAAGGAGAGAGACGGGAAAGGTGGGTTTGCGTTGCTTTTGCATTACGAGCCGACCAACAGTGACCAGCCTGGACGACAAGACTCAGGCTTACTTATTTCTCAACCACACGCAAAATGCAGCAAAGATTTCGCAATCAAATAAAATTGGACTTCTTTACTTTTTGTCTGTCAGCCCCATATTTTTCTTTCTCTGCACCCTTAAATGGAGAAGCGAAGGCAAGGTGCTGAGCCCACAGGAGTGATTTATGGGAGGAAGACTGAGGACAACAGCAACCACCAAATATTCCCTGTTTACTGGTGCCGAACAGCACGGCAACGCTCGCGGCACTGGCTTTTCAAAAAGCTCCTTATCTGATTTCCTGGAGAGCAGCAGGAACCGCACTGTGTCAGGGGAGGAGACGGGCCAGGGAGAAAACACCAGGGAGAACTCAAACCTCCCCACAGCTGTACAAAGCAGGAAAGGAAACTTCCAAATCCAAAGGGCAAATAAAATAGGAAAACGAATTCCTCAACCCAAAGTATTTTTTTTCACTCAGCCATAACATGGGACTTGCCAAGGCCTGGCCTACACTTTTGTTTTCCAGCTATAACTCTTGTCTTCTTTTGTTTGGAAAACTGGCTTAAATTATCTTGGCAAGGCTCTGTCCCCCATTTTTATGGTATAAATTGTGTCCCTTTGGGGTATGTTTGCTAGTTCGACTACACAGACTTCTGGAGAGGTGAGATCTAGGGGAGAGTCACCTTCTGGCCCCGCCAGAATGGATGGAAAAGTGTCCCCAAGACCCGCGAGAGCAGGGCTTCCCTCTCACTGAGCACTGCTCGCTAAAGCAGACTTAAACCCAGAGTCATGCTCATCTGCTGGCGGATGCCTAAATCTTTGCAATTATAGGAAGCCCAAACATTGCTGATTGCTCACAGATTAGAAGAGGGTACAGACTTAAAGAAGAAAACAGGTAGTGCACCCTTAAAATATTCCCTTGCAATATTTCTCTGCACCAGATGCTGTTCAGGCAGGAAAACAGCTGATGATCTTTATGGCAATGGGGTCGAATTTGCTGATGTGCCGTGTTTTTCCAGCCCTTTCACTAATACCAGAACAAGGTTGTATCAAGACATACCATAAGTTCACCCCCTTTTTTTAGACATCGTTATGAACCACCTTAGAGAAAGCGATCTAGGAAAACAGAGCAAAATCAAGCTATCATGGGGGTTGTGCATCCAGCTCGTAGGACACCGGCTCCACAGCATGTTTAATGCCTTTTGCCCATGATGGCCAGCTTGCCACATTGCTTTGCTGATGAAGAAAGCTGATCTCAGGTGCATTTGCCTATGGGCATGGTTTTCAGGACGGCTGAACGACTCGTAGGTTGGGCCTTAAATGTGGTGTTTGCTCAGAGATGAGCATGGTCTCCAGGCTGCGATGTGCCCTGGGTTTGCTTTCATTGGAAGATTTGATTCCCCAGATAGAAACTGGCTGAAAAATATCTGCTACAGTAAAGGACAGGAATAAAATAAGCTGAAATGCCTGTTTCTTCGCTGCAGGACAAACCCTTATGATGCACAACTCCTCCTGGCATTTAGAGGGTTCAAAAACTACAGGATGGGGACCCCTATGCCAGTCCTGTACAGGACAAAGAGGTCCGACAGCTATCATTAACGTCCAAAAATACATGACTCCAATCCAACAGTGCTGTCCCGGTGGAGAACTTCTTGCAGCAATGTTGATCCTCACAGCTAAATATATAACTACAGTCATGCTTGGCACCACTGACCCAGAGAAGACGACTGAATAGCTAACTAGTGAATGTACACAGCTAACAGACCGTGACATGACCTATATGTCTCCCATCCGATGGTTGAGAATTAACCAGGAAATCACCTACATCCCTTGATTTTATTAAAAATTGGGGGTTTGGAGTTGATGGTAAATCAAGGGCGGGGGGGGGAAAGAGCAGCTGTTTTAAATAAACAGCAAGATTATCTTATGGAAACGCAATGGTGCTTCTTGGAACCACACTGTGAATAGTCTGGCTGTGCAACCTTCGTGCCTTTTGTATTTTAAAAATAATTTCTATGTTGAGTTACAACAGAAAAACTAAAAAGCCTGCCAGGGTTCTCTTTCCTATGAGCTTACAGATCAGAGAATGAAGAGAATAAAAGAGTTTTTGTCTGGAGCAAGTTCAAAATAACTTAGACACACAGTTGAGCAGGAGAGCAGTGGCAGGGACGGGAGACACTACAACAGACTTTCCTTTCCTTTGTCTTGCTACTGGAGTCCCAGATAATTCACCAAATCCAGCTCCCATCCTTGGGCTGACTTTGGCTGAATAGATTAGCAGGGGGCAGACAAGTGCTGTGAAGCTTCATGCATGCATAACATAGACGCTACCTGCTGCCATACGGCAGGAGACAGAAATGATTACTATTCGTCTACTCTTCTTTTACCATTCTTTAAACAACCCTGAAAACCACAAGAGATAGAGCCCAAGTTTACGACCCTCTTTATTTTCTTTCAGTGATTTATTTCCACCCGACAATGCACTGGTTTACACAAAACGCTGTAAACCATCACGACTGGTGCTCACCCAAGCAAAGGCCAAACTCTGGGCTGGGCTTATTACTTGATTTAGCGATATCAAATTCAGTGTCCTCACATGCAAAATATGCATAAGCTAATACTCCCATGTTGTTTTAGTGTCCTTGATTTAAGAATAAATTTAGAGCCTGGTTAAATCTGCATCCCAGTAGTTTTAGCTAGATTTTTCTTAGCTATTCAGGCTCCTCATTTCCAAAGATATCTCCACAAAAAATGGCATGGTATTTTCTCCATCTGCCAACCCATATATCACGGGCTTTAAACATGCAGACTTGAGGCAAGGCATTAGTCAGCGAGCAGCAGTTTGATGGGGCTCCTGGCCACAGCAGAGTATCAAAATAGTGATTTATTCAATGACAAGCGCTCCAGACTCGCACCTCAGCACTTCATAAGCCCAAGTAAACACTGAGGAGAAGAGAGTTTTTGATGATCCAAAGCTTAAGCTTGAATTAGACCAACACACAGATACAAGAATTACTCTGTAAAGCCTTTTTGTGAGAATACATTCAAATGCCTGAGCACGAGTGGACTGCATTAGCTTTTCTTAAGAGCCCATCTGCTCTCAGCTGAGAAGTTCAGGTCACACTTGTCTGATTTGTCTAAACTTGTCAAATTCTCTAAATTTGTGGACGGAAATGTTTTTCCTTACATGGTCTTTATTAAGAGTCATGCAGCTGGACACTGCCTCTGGGATGAGATGGCAGCTCTGAGGAGGTGCTAATCTGCTCGCTGCAGTTGTTTGCACATCACTCTGGCCACATCCAAGGGTAACGGCAGGTTTGTCGGAACAAAATTGCAGCCCAAATTTTGGGAATTTCAAGCAAATAGTTATTTCTGAGCTTCTAGCGGTGAGCAGACCCCAAGCTCACAAACGGAGAAGTTGAAGACACAAGGTCTCAAGTCAAGGGGACTCCACAGATGCCTAAGCTTTATCCCGAGTCTCAAAAAAGGGGGGATTTTACATAAAAACGTTAAATATTGGTGCACTACTGGCTCTAAAGAGTAGCACAGGAACAGCATTTCCAACCACATCTCTAATGCGCATTCTCAACAATAAAAACAAACGTGTTGACTGCGCTTTTCCCTAAGAAAGGAAGGCAAATTGATACATTATGCCCATTATCTTGAAGGAAATCAGTCAAGTGTCGCTGAACAATTGACTTTTAGACACATGCAACAAAAGATTAATTACCAAGCCTTTACGGAAAATTATCTCTCAAATAGCATCCAGATATTTTTATTAAAATACGTTTGAAAGACTATGAATTAAAATGTTGACACTTTCTAAAGAAAATTTTAACTGTTGATCATTAACAGTCAGAAAAGCAAATTTTTAAGCTATACCTTGTAGAATTAACATCACACTTTTTTTACTAGACATAGATGGAGAATATTTTTGTTCAGACAAAAATTCTGAAAACTAGTTAGCATTTCTCTTCAAAAGCTTCAATAAAGTATCACAATAAAATAAAAAGAAAAATCCTCTCAACTATTTTTCTCCAGATCTGGATAACTAAAACCTAAATACTCATTCTAGAAACCACAATGCTAGCTGCAAACTAACATTGCACATGAAAATTGAAAGTTTCTATGAATTACTGCCAAAACTGTTCCATACAGAAAATGTCAACCAGTTCTATATTTTCCTCTGAAGTTGTCAAGATGAGAAGCCAGTTGGCAAGTTTATGTTACACAAAATTACTAATTGCTCACATCACTTAGGAAATTTCTAATAAAAGCCTAAGGAAGCTTTGCAAAAGTTTTGCTCGAGAGTTCACTCGAGGGCATTAATTTAAAAAGATAAGCACTCCAGAAGGAATACCCGCTTTAAACAATGTTATGCCAAGCAGTCAATTTTAATCACATTATCTGGTGTAGAGTTGACCCATGCATACCAGGCTTAAAACACACAGAGCTGCTTTGGGCTTCCACCAGCAGTCAGAAGCTGTGCCCCATACAACTGGCCATTGGGATAGGATGATTTTGCCTGAGCCCTGGGAAACATAGCTACGAGGCACGAACCACCAGGTATTACAGACCTTTCCAGGCTCACATTCTGTCCCATCAGCCCAAGGTGTGTGTTGGGTACGACATCCCTTGTGCGCGCCATCAATGTTAATACACCAAAGTCGCCGACACTGCATCTGCTTAAGTTATTGAAAAGATCAAAATATTAAATAAATATGTGCTACATGCCTTACCAGATAGATGATCCTTTATGAAATTATCCCCCTAAGATTCATCGTTAATTCACAAGCTTGACAATCATTTGACGGCTTATAAGCCTCCCATTCATCCAACCCCAGGAGGCCTTATTTTGCCCTGGCAACACCAGAAGAACCAAGGTGTGGCATTTCACTTACCATATACGGGCACACTTGAGAGCCGGGTCCAAAAATTAACTCACATTGTTTGTTGACGTCATAAATCAGCCCCGGGAGCTGCTGAGGCAACGTGTAAGTTCTTGATGAAGGTTCATCAAGCAAACACTCCCCATAACCAGTGCTAGAACACAAAGCAGAACGACGGTGTTAAACAGGAGGCGATGAGACTAGAACCCATTGGTGTGTACCCGAGTCAGCCCTAGATGCACACCACATTTGCCATATTTAACAAGCACTACAACAGCCACTGCGGACTCAAGCACAGGAGGGTAGGATGCGTTACCCATTCACCACCACCCCCCATGCTGTGCTAACAACCATCCACCACAGTGCAGTCAGCTACCCCGGTAAAAGCATTTCTGAGCATGCATGACCTGCATTTAGTTGCTGAGCATGCTCTGGTATATATTTAGAAAGAAAATCATTGATTAGCAGAAGAACCGCCCGAGGGACTGAGCTCCTGGAATTGCCAAGACACCATCGTGGTTCTCATTCTGCTCCCCATCACAACACGTGGGAAGGCATCATGGCAAAATGGGCGATCACTGTGCATCAAACCGACCCGCGGGCTCCTGGAGCAGTGTTCCCACCATGGACTAGTGCCAGGGCTTTATCTCGACCTGTGGAGCAGAAAGGCAGATTTAATCTGCCTCCTAAAACACAGCTCCGTATCTGGGCCACAGGGCTTGGAAAACTCACTCTTCAGGTTCGAGGAGAACGTACATTCCTTAAAAGCAATGTCCATGGGGGAAGACTTATTCCTCCCCATAGAGAGGCTGGTCCTTGCCAGCTTATCACGAGGCTGAACTGGCAAGAACTGGATGCCAGGGGTGCACTCCTGCTCTATGTAAAGGATGCGTGCACACACAAATCCCTCTGATTTCCTCCAAAGGCTGCACACTAGGATTTCAGATTAACTGACGAGGAGGAAATCCCTCTGATTTCCTCCAAAGCCTGCACACTAGGATTTCAGATTAACTGACGAACCCCATAGGACGCATGCACATGTCAAAACAGCCTAACACATGCAAGGCCTTACTCTAGAAATTCAGTGATGTATTTCCTACTGCATTTTGACCACATCCAGGGATTGGTGTAGAAGTTCAGTGTTGGTGCCATGACATGCTGTTGATTTTTACCTCCATCTTCTTTGCACTTATGATTGTCATCGTGTGGCATGTTAAATCTAGACAGAGAGAAACAGAGAGAGAAAAACAGCAGCAAAAAGTACAGTCAGTTAAGTGGCAAATGTCAAGTATTTAGGATAGCAAGAGCAACAGTCAGAACTAAACATAAGCAAAGCCAAGAATTTTTCCCAGATATGCTACTGACAGATATCACAGACTAGAAGTATTAATATGCACATATTCATAAGTGTCAACAAGCATTGCTCAAACTGGGTTCCTAGCACTTGTCTGCAAAAAGCTACGCAGGACCCCAGTAAACTCTCCACACCACGACTGCATATATTTAGCCAGACAAGTCCTTGAGGGAGCCTGGAGTAAGATGCAATTTCAGCCGCAGTTTCCTTTTCAGCTGACAGTTGCTGTCCCGCAGGCAGGCTGGAGTTTAGCCCCACCTTCATAAAAATGGCAAGTTCTCTGGAATTAAGCCAAAAAGCTAAGAGTTGATCTGGGGGAATAAGATTCTGAAGGAGACAAATGACTTGAGCCCACCAACCACCGCTGCCTGAAGTCCCTGGTGTAGGCAGCACCCTATCTCGGCTGCAAGATGTTTTCCAACGCCGTTGAATCCCTTGGGCCACGCTGATCCTTCATGCTGGTGCCTGAACCCTATTTAGGGATAGACTTGGCTCCTATACTTCACGTGGTAGGTTTACAAAATGCCATCAAGCATCAGTATCAGCAGAAACCCACGCAAAGTTTGCAGCACATGACATATTGAAGAATGCGGCAAATACGCTAACGGAGAGAGAACGGCTTAAAGCGCTTTGCTGTTTCAAGTGGAGAAGGGGAAATGACCCGGTGTGATCCTGCGTGGAAGGCTGAGGAGTTTATATCCCATTAAGATTACCTCCAGCGAACCACCTTTTCACTCTGCTCCCTGTAAAAGAGCAAAGAGGCATTTCCCGCTCGGGAGCGCCGCTAACCCTCCGGCAGCGCTGGGGCAGCATTAGTGAAGGAATTAGCCACAGGTTAGGTGTGGGGAAGGCCAAACCTTCAGGGACTTTCTGTCAGGAAATCTCATTTAAACAAATACTACTGTGGTTAAAAATAGACCGTCTCAGCCAGCTCCCCGTGAAGAAAAAGGGAGTTTAAAACAATGAGAAATCTGTGCCCGAATACTCACCCATCCCACACCTACAGACCTCCACTGCAAACCAGGCGTGAGGTGGTTTGGGACTGAACCAGCTGCCTAAGAGTTGTAGCTGGGGGGTAAAGGACTATGTGATCTAAGATGATTTTTCTCACTATCACCCTCAAAAACAGTCAAAATCAGTTAAAAGAAATTTCCACCGGAGGTGGTGCATCTTGAAGGACAGCATCTCTTCTGGGGATGTCCAGCAGCGTGAGATTTTCCCTCGTGAAATAGTTCAGGAGGTGGGTCAGGCTCACGTATACATCCCGACCGCCTGCCAGACGCCCTGGGTACCTTCCTCCCTTCGCACACAGCTGCTGCGCTGCCTTCAGTAGCACCACGCATGGCGACAGGACAAGCTGTGGCAGGCTGAGGACCTGCTCTCGGAGAAGACTTCAGTCCCAAAGGCCAGGTGAGACGTGCCCGTGCCCCTTGCCCTGGTCCTTCCCGAGGCACCCAGCACCTCCCAGCTCCGGCCAAAATCCTGGCTAGTCCCAGTGGCTTGGCCAGGATGTCATAGCTGCTAGGGCAAATCCTGCTGACATCTGCATGTAGATGTGAGAAGATGCAGTAATAACGGACATTTTTGTTAGCTCTCCTCCCTTGCTTAGGTGTTGCTCGGGGTACCCTGTCACTCATCCTCCCCAAAATGTGGGTCTGCTGGTTTTCTGCTCTCAGATAGGCTCCAGAGCACCCCACTACCTCCCAGAGTCACAGCTTAATCTTCCTCAGTGGTGCATCTTGTACCCAAGTATATTTATCTCCTCTCAAACAATTAAGCTCAGCAGGACCAAGTTCTAGCCTGGCTGGCAAGCCCTAGCTAGCATAAATCTTGGGCAATTTAAATGTAAATGTATTTACATAAAACATACACATGGCCAAGTTCATGTGCTATTGTGAAAGCAGTGCTCAGTCCGTTATCTTCGCTAATTGAACAGCTCCTGTATGGGTCACAGACTGTGCCCAGCTCTGCCAGACCTAGGAGAGAACAAAGAGGTTTACGATAGAAAAAGAAATGTCGCCCACGGTAAACTAACATTGTCACTACTAAAAAAGTTATAAAAAGATGAAGAAAATGTTTTCCTTACCCAGAGTATCACATTTGTCGTGCGCTCTACAAATATCCTGTCTGAAAGCAGAACAGACCTGACACATTAATTTTCAATGCGGCAGTGAGTTAAGGTACAAGCACAATAAAAACAACATCCAAAAGCAATTCTTAGTCCTCCCACGGACCTTCTCATGCTGGTTTGCCACATCGTCCAGTCAGAGTCTGAACCAACTTCCTACCATAGTCAGAGTTTTTCATCTTATGTTGAACCCATGGGCAGACCATGGACCTCTCAAAGTCATCTACTGCTATGGTGGACACATTATCCCAATTCTGCTCACAGTTACACTGCTCCCACAATTGCAAATGTCATTACACCCACATCAAAACCCAAACATTTCCCGTAGCTGCATATATTACATGCTGACAACCTCTGACACAGAACTGGCTACAGTCTTCATGAGAATATTCACCATACCTGGTAACAAGCACGGCTGTATCGTGTTGAAGGTGACTTCCTTCAGGGTGGTTCTGGGATTGCTGCCATTGGCAGAAGTTTTTTAATGTTGTCTGGGCATTGTAAGATATTGCAGGACCATCCTAACAAGCAACACACATAAAGCAGGTATTTTAATTATTCATCACAAGGCTCGCTACAAATGCCACCATCAAACAGAAGGAGAAGAAAACCACTTCCGTTACCTGTTCATTATGTATCACGACCAATTTCACAATAACAATATTAATTAAATTTCCAATGCTTGGGTCTTTGTAGATAGAAGCCACCTGTTTAAAAAATATTCAGATTATTGCTAACATTCAAGGAAACAAACAATTAAGACAACAGACACATTTTCCATTTTGCAACCGTTTTTCTCCTGAGCTGCTCTTCTGCCCCTCTCGGTGCTCTGATGCTACTTGGAAAGACCTCCTGCCAAAAGCACAATTTTAGAATCAAACAAACCTGCTGGTATCACAGAAGCCCAACATTTCCTTTTGCTTTAACACACACTTGACTAAATTACAGGATCATTCTGCTCTGAGACACAATGACCACCAACTAAGACTGTCAAAAGCAACTTATTCTCTCAAGTGCTTCATTTTGACACGGACAGTTTTAGACCACATAGTCACTGCACTTCTGCCCTCCAATAGGATGAAAATCACTCCAGTGACACAGCTATGCTGGACACTCACTTCCAGGCACTCTGCATCTACAGAGCTGCCTGTTTGGGGACCGCACTACTGCATCCTAGAACCAGAGGCTACTAAAATGCTTGTCCTCAGCCTGGAAAGCCAACTCTAGCACTACGCTAAGGACCAAGGTGACCACAGGCTGCTTCTCCTTTCAAGAGCAAGGGAAGTCAGGCAATGGCATAACCTACTAGCATCAGTCCCTTGGAAGGCACAGTCCCCGAAATACCTTTTTAATTCAGCTGCTATATCACATGGGCTTAAATAAAGAGAAGAATACAGAGCATGTGGACTAAAGGGCCAGTGATACATCTTGTGCTGCCTGGGGTTTGGAAAGCTGGAAGGGAGAGGTTTGGGAAGGGTTAGGAAATGTGATGGGTCTGGCAAGGAAGACGACTACAACCAGTGTTCCCCAGCCAATTTTACCAAGCTTTACTCTAATCCCAGCACTACCTCCACGCCTAGCTGAGGCAAACTGATGGTATTGCATAGGAACGCAGCAGAAAGGAGGCTCTGTGACCACTAGAAAATGATCTGTGGGTGAATCTGCTCTCCCTAGTTGAATACTCACTATTGACATTAACGTTAAGACATAGTGCTGTAGGTTAGCTCCATGGTAGGCGACCATCCTGCTGTCAGCCACCACCATCACTTCCACAAACCGAGGGTAGGAGAGAAACCGCTTCGTTCGTCTGTGGCTCTTCTTTTCACTGATGTTCCCAGTCTTGTTGCTATCTGCAGAAAATGAATTCACTTCCAGGCTGTGTTTTAATGTCTCCATGTCAGATAATATGCTGCTTTCTGCCCACTGTCTTCTCCAGTGTTTCCGTTTGTTCTTTTTGTGACTGTGTTCGTGATCTATGATTAAAAAGCAGACAAAAATATCAAGTACATTCTGGAGTAGAGTTAATGCCACATGCAAGCTACGTCAAAATACCTATTTATTTCAACCAAGAGTTAGCAGGCTTGTTCCAAACAGCTCACCAAAACAGAAGGACTATGTGGAAGCCCACCATGTAAGCCAACATCTAAGGCTTTTCTTAATTTTTAAAGGCTTAGGTAATCTCACTGAAGCCAATGGCACTTAAAGGCAGACGTTCACGTAAAGGCTTTCCTGCAGCAGAGCCGCCTCCTTGCTGGCGCAGGAGGGATGGAGCCTGGGCTGCAGTTCAGTTTAACGCGACGTGAGCCCGGTGACGGTAATTAGCCACCGCAGCGACAGCGTGAGGATTCTGGGCACGTCCAAGGTGGCCAGGAAATCGCAGGAAACAAAGGTCCAAATCCTGTATTTCTAACTCAGGCATGAAGGACGGCAGGATTTGGCCTTCATAGCGAAGCAATTATATATGATTTATTTCTGTCTCTGACAATAACATGGCTGGGCTTCAATTCCCCCCCTCCCTTTATTATTCTGTGCTACGGGAATGGTAAAGGTCATCTAATAGCACAGCTGCCACTGGGTAAAGAATAGAATTCAGGAAGTTTCACATATACTGCTTTTGATATTCAATTAGGCCAAACATAAAAGCAGCCTGAAAATATACTCCATGCTGATACAAAGACGACAAAGTGAAGAGGGAGAACAGGCAAATAAAACATATGGAACTTGTACAATTAAGATTTACCATCTGATTAGTATGTAATTATAGCATTATTTAAATGTAAGAGCAAAATCAGTCTTATTTGATGCCACTTAATTTTTAATCAGTTCATCATAGGAAGTAGCTAATTGAATGTGATTCATCCACGAGAGACTGTTCGCTTCTGCATTTAATATAAAGCCAGATCTGAACTACTCATCTAAGACTCCAGGCTACAACCCTCACGCTCTTTGTAGCTTTAGTTTAATTTCGTCATGGTGGTGAAAAATATCACATTTCCTTATCTGACCCACTGAGTAGGTTAGAGGAAGCATAATATTAGGGAACAAAGGAATATTCAATGCTCAAACAAGATTGAAATGATAGGAAACTTCTTAGCTATTTTTCCTGTGTAGTTTCCTTTTAGGATATTTTGTAATAACTTACAAAAAAAGAAATATAAAACACATTCTCTAATAACCAAGGCAGGCAAAGGGGTTCGGTCAGCTTCTACCTATCTGAAAAATACTATCCTTTTGCCCTGTGTGAAAATAGGCAATAGAGTATTTAAGAATTAAATCCTGTTTACTCTGCACTACCTCAGTCCTACGAATTCCCCTTTCTCGATATAGTCCAGACCACCTTAATACAGCAGAGAGTCCGCAGTTATTTGAGTAAGAATTCGAGAAAGCCAATGGCATTTGTGGTTATAATTGGATTGCCCTAGTTCCTCTGCACTAATCAATGCCCTTGTGTTGGCAAGGTTCTGCTCTCATGCTGGCACGGCTTCGTGGGCAACCGTGACATTATCCCGACTCGTTCAGTGCCAATCAGCGCGGGAAGCCAACTATGCATACAAACAACTTAAAGGTGAGAAGACGACCAGACCGAGTAGAAAGCGCTAACGTCAGCCCTTCAGGCCGTTCCCCTCCTCTCTGCACCCTCAGCCAGTCACTTAAATTTCTCTTTTAAATAACTAACTTTGAAAAGAAGCAGGTGCTCAAGGAAAAATGCGTTAAGGATGGGGAGATGCTCAACAGGGCTCGAGCGAGGCTGAAGGCAAGGCTGCGGTGTGAAGGCAGAGCTCTGCAGCATCCGCTGCCGTGGCTCTGCAAAGCCCCAAATGGGACCACGAGGATCAAGTGGCTTCTCCTGCCAGCCTGGCAGAGGAAGTTAGATGGCAAAAGAAGAGGGAAATGCAAAAGATTCTTTGAAGAGACACCTGTTATACAGGAGGTGTTTGAAAGAAATTAATTGATATCCACCAGGCTTGCACTGAAATCCTGCAGCCAGTGTTGTCACACGCTCAAAAAACCAAAACCACCCAAAAACCAGAGAGGTCCACGTGAAATGCCAGGTCTGGTTCCGAGAGCCCCGACCTGACCCACCACGCAGGAGAACCAGAGCCCAACACAGCCAGGTATGCCCAGCACAGCGGAAAAACTACCTTTCTTTCTGTTGCAGAGATCTGGCACGGTGTCACAGAATCATAGAATCATTTAGGTTGGAAAAGACCCTTAAGATCATCCAGTCCCATCGTTAACCTTACACTGCCACGTGTCAGTACAGTGTCAGTGTACTTCCCCCATCCAGCACACAAATCAAGTCAGCCACATCATCCCTTCAAAAACCAATGTATTTTTTTCCAGGTATAAAGTCACTCCAATACTTACAGCACGCTATTTGGACAAGTCACATACAGTACGTCAGCCAACCTAGTTACTGTAAAACCAAGCACAAGCGCGTGGGGATACACTGCATGGAAAGCCACTCCTGGACTTTGATAGTAGTGAACTGTTATCTTCACCCACCTTTCTTGCATAGAACTACACTCAGAGATGGTGCACATTCAACTGTAAAAAATTAAACACTAATGGCAGCGCACTGCTCCCAACCCATCCATAAAACCCTGACCAGCCTTAACGGGAGTTGCACACAGGCACTGCCAGCACTCCACGTGCCTGAGGCTGTTGATACCGCGCTCCGTTACGATGGCCACAACAGAAATGTTCTTACTGAACGGTGCAGCATGCTGCCATTTAGCCAAGCAGAAGTGAAAATCTCTTATGTTACACAAGAAAACTGCAATTTTACAGCGACAGCTTCCTACTGCCACGCACAACAGCAAAGAAGGGTGTGATATTTTTCCACCTGGTTTTGCTTTTTTTTTCCTATTGTGTTAATATATTAACAGAAATCAGGAAGGAAAATGGTTTGCTTGGCATGCTTTCAGTCTCTGCAAATGACCTGAAAAACATCTGCCTACACATGGCAGTAATTGGATGGGTTTAAGTAACAAAACATTTTCTTTAATTTGCAGAAAAAACAAAACCCCAATAAGTAGACAAACACTTTAAAACCATGCAAACTACAGATCAATAATTCAAGTACTAGGCGAACCTATGCACTAATTCAACAGTTAATATTCATTTAAGAGGCGGCTAAAAGGCTGCTGGAATAATGTCTATTTTACTGTTTGCTTTACTAAGACAGCCTAAGGTGTTTGCACTGTCTTTAGACAGACCTGGAAGTGTACGTTCATTTTTTTCCCCGCTCAGTTTCTTCTTTGTTATGTGGGACTTAAAAAGGAGACCCAGTCCTGTGACAGGGATATTCCTTCCTGACGGCATCTTCCCACCCGTGCCATTCATTTCTGCTTGCGCAAGAAGCCTCAGCCCAGAGCCCATGGAGCTGACTTATGGATGATTC